CCCATCGACTTCCATTTCACAGATGAAGACATGGAGATTCTGGGAGTTAAGTAATTATGAACTCAGGTCTGTCTGACTCCAAAATTGAGGCTCCTCTGCACATTGGGGAGGGGAACATGGCTCACTCACAAATTTTTCTTACAGTTTTCCTTTCTTCTTCCTTCTTTTCTATCCCCCATTCAGAACCCACCATCATCTATCTCACTTAGGGGTTCTGCCCCATCCTCCTCGGCCTAATTTCTGGCCTTTGTCAAGGGCTCCAGTCTCCTTCCTACTGCACGATGTCCCATGCCATTTGTCTTTTCCAGAGCATCCATATGGCTACCAAGGACCATGGTCACAGAGGGGTGGCCAATGGCCATCTTGTTCACTCTCCTGCAATAGGCACAGTGGCCACACCTAAGCTCCTCAAGATTTCCCAAAGCAGCCTCTCCTTCCCACCACCTCGCTTCCGTTCAGCATACCCTTCCTGGCCCAAGCAGCAGCAAGGGAATGCAATCAGGTTTGTTTCCACGCTCCAGGAATAAATGAAATGATTATTCCAGATGGGCTGGAGAGATGAAGAACGTGAACTCCAGAGCAGGGTTTCCCAGGCTCTCACCAAATCAGGGTGACAATCCAGGAGAAGGCTCCTGAGGAAGCTTGGAACCAGGGTTAAAGTTTTTGTCCAGTCCCCTGCCTACTGCAGCCCATAGCCTGTGCACATCGACATTAGTAGTTTTCTAACTCTGGAAGGATAATAGGTAATTACCCCAATTCTCTTGTTCCAGTGAGTCTGAAGATAAAATTAAGTTCCCTCCCCTAGTCACCCCAGTTTGGGGCTGTGGAATAACTGGAATGAAATGGACATCATTACATTTATTGTCTCTATGTAGCTATGTCTAGGTAAGCACTATTCGAAAAGGACTGCCCTGATAACTCATTGGAATTCCAACGGATTTAAGAATTTGGAGATTAAGAAAAGATGGCTAGAAGATGACTTCCTAAATCTGGAGTGGAGAATCGGAGAATGAACCGAGGCAGCAAGGACTCAGAAGTGTCTCCAGGAGCCAGAGTGGTGGCTCTCACTTGTAATCCCAGGGACTTGGCAGGCTGAGGCAAGAGGATCTCAAGTTCAAAGCAAGCCTGGGCAACTTAGCAAGACCCTGTCAAAATAAAAACTCAAAAGGGCTGTGGATGTAGTTCAATGGTGGAACACCCCTGGGTTCAATTCCCAGTATGGGGAAAAAAAAAAAATAGAGTCTCTAGAATGAAATTCCCAAGGATGGATACCCTGGGAGGCAAATTCATAGAAATTCTACGGATGATAAATTAGGTTTCTGATGACTATCCAAGAGTGGCCTTGGTTCCCAAGGAGATGTAAATTACCTCCCTAATTTGTCAGTGGCCAAAGGAATTATAATTAGCCCTGGCAATTCTGAGGAGAGATGCAAAAGGCAGAACTCGGAAGAGGAATGGAGACGAGACACTTCAGGCTGTTTGTGTCTCTCCGGAAATACAGACAAAAATCAGAACTATCTTGAGATCCCCACACTTGAGGCAGCACTTGTATACCCAGTCTTCCACTTGACTGTTGCTAGGTCCTGGATAAGTGTCTCTCAAAGGCTAAGTGGTGAATAGCCTACGGTGCTATTGGGAGAGGGTGAAAACTTTCCCTCTTTCCTTCCTTTCTTCCTTCTTTCTTTCCCCTCCCCCACCCACCCTTTCTTTTCCTTTCCTTTTTGTGGTACTAGGAATTGAACCCAAGGGTGCTCTACCACAGAGCTACATTCCACATATTTTTTTTTAAATTTTGAGACAAGTTTTCACTAAAGTTGCTGAGGATGGTTTCAAACTTGGGGTCCTCCTGCCTCGGATTGCAAAGGCCCTGGGATTATAAGTGGGTGCCACTGTACTCTGCAGGTGAAAACTTTAGTAAGTAGGGCTACAGGGAGGAAGTTAGATCACGAGAGGTGCCCTAGAAGGGGACATTGGGACCTTGGCTCCATCTCTTCCTTTTTTCCTCTCTGCTTCCTACCTGCCATGAGGTGAGCATCTTCACAGCCATGATGTGCTGCTCTGCCACAGGCCCAAAGGCAACTGGACCAGGCAACCATGGACCGAAACCTCTGAAACCATGAGCCAACAAAACTCTTCCCTCTTCTGAAGTTAATTATCTCAGGGATTTTGTTGCAGTGACGCAAAGCTGACTAACACCTGGTGACGTGGTCCTAAATTTTGCAAGTCAATTGTTAAGTGCAGTCGCTGATTAAAAGTAAAGTATTTAAGCTTACAATTAAATAAGTTATATTAAAACAAAGGTGGTAAGTACTGAAAACTCATCCTGATTTGATTATCTTACTACAGTTCTCTATTCTTTAAGCTCTTGAGGCTATTCACTTTTATTCTATCTGAATTGTGGAAATACTACAACGGTCTGCTACTGAATCTTTCTCCTACTTCCATGCCACTAATATCAGGTTAACAGTTGAAAAGAGCCACAGTAGGAATAATTTACATCATAGAGCTTCAGCGATTCTACCAACCACAGCATCCCTGCTCACCTCCCCACCCCAAGCCCAAAGCCACTGGTGAATATTTATCGCAAGTGCCCTACTCCAGCATTAAACAAGGTTTCAGACAAGAGACATGAACAAAAAAGAACAAAGTGTCCCTGCAGCAAAATCCTTGGAACAGAAAGCTCCCTTCCTCTCGCCCTGGGACTTTGAGCAGGGTACCGGCTACAATTTTGGCTTTGGATTTAAGTACTCCCCTGGCTTCCTGCCTGAGCCACCCTAATCAGAAGTTGTTTCCAAATTCTCTCTGAAATCTCAGCTGCTTTTGAATGGGCTGAGCCATTGCCAGAGCCTCACTGTTTCCACCTCTCTGGTGAAGGCTAAGTCTAAGCATGGCTTCCTGGCTCCCAGAATAGGGCAGATAATATCACTCAACACAGTCCATACAGCCAACTGGTTGTCTCTGTCCCTCTGCATCTTGCAAGAAGCTGAGCTAAAGGAGCCCCAGGCTGGGAGTACCCTTTCCGGGTCAACCTCATCAGCCCCCTGCCTTAGGGCAAAAGTGTGCCAGGCTCAGTGCCCTGCTGAAGATCTAAATCTATCTGTAAACAGGACATCTAAGACATGCTCAGAAGTATGACCAAGAATGTGAAAGGATAAAGGGTTCCCGAATTTTTCTGCTCCCTATCTGTGCAGTTCCCCTTCCTGTAAACCCCTGCCCATTCCCCAATCACCCCATCTCCAAGCTGCCAGGCCAGTTGTCTCTGGTTCTCTCTGTCTCCCCACTGTCTCATCTCTCCTCCCAAGTTCTGTCAAGGCAGATCCAGCGATGCATTGCCCCTTTGCAAATACTCAAGCCATCTCCAGCAATTCCTGCTTATGTATTACCAGGCAGGGTTTAGGGATCCCTAAACCCGATACTCTAGAACCCACACATACCCCATTTCAAGTTGCCCTAGGGTAGAATCAGAAAGAATTTGGAAGACTGCCTTCTTTTCAAAAGAAGAGAGACAGAAAAGTATCAAGGCTCTCAGCAAGCAGGTGGCTGGGGAAGACTAAATGACCCTGAAGTACTATTCACTTCTGAAAATCCCCTACCTCTAGACCAGACAGGTGTCCAGTTCTATGTCTCTTGAACTTGGCTGTATGGAGGACAACCGCTTGGTTCACAAGAGGCAGCTGAATCGGAAATATGATGCTCTGGACTCCCTGAGAGTAGAACTTGGACCAAGAGATAAAGGCTATATGGTTCAATAGAAGAAATGTTCTATTAAATATTGGCAATCAGAGGCTGAATGGCCTGCTGTGGGAGATAGTAAGCTGCCACTGGAGGGACATAAGAAGTTGGAATATCCTTTGTCAGGGATGCCACTGAAGGAATTCAGATTCAGAGGAACAGCCTGATGTTCTGGGGTTAAATATTTCTAGACCAAATTCTGAATTACTACATTTATTGCCTTGGTTGAGATAGCTAATACTCCTGAGCTTCAGTTTCTTCAAAGTAAAAGGTGAATAAAGATAAAATATTTAAAAGCACCTGGCACTTAGTGGGTGCTCAATAAATCTAATTTCCTTCCTATAAATGGAAGTTTGGGTTAGGCGGCCTTGAGGTCTTCCTACCTTCACAGACTCTGAACCTGTTCCTGGCTGCTGAGAAGGAAAGCGTACCTCTGGGAGAGAAAGAAGTCAGGGTTAGGTCAATGAGGGGAGAAGACAGGAGGATGCTGAGAATGAGGGGGGGGTGGGAATCTGGAGGTCACCTCTGACAGTCCTGTCTCCTGACTTCTGACCTAGTTTTAAAGTCCACCCCTCACTTCCCCCACAGTATTGTGAAGGCGTAGGTTTAGATGACCCCTTCCAGAAATGACTCCCCCTCTAAGAAGGGGAAGAGAGGACGGTATGGTACAGGTATGGGGCAGGGCAGCAGAGCACATCCCCCTGTCCCTCCACCCCATGCCCGCCCCTCCGTGTGACACGACAGCCACCGCAGTCTTAAAGCTTCTTTATTGTGCTAACACTGTTGCCTCAGAGCTAGGATTTCACATAAAAACAATTCAGTCCAGACTCCCACCCACCCGGGCCCGGGGCCCTCTGCTTTGGCTGGGGACACCCGACCTGCGCCTCTTCGGCTCTCGGATACTGACTCCGCCAGCTCGTTCACCCCTCAGCCCACGAACCCCGGCTCTGGAGCCTCGGGATGCAGGAGGGCTCCGGACTGCGTTCCTCTGACCTTCCCGCCCCCTCCCACTTTGGGGGAGGAGGCTCTGTCGATCTACTCTGTTCCGGAGGGAAATTCCTCAGCACCCCAGCGCCCGGCGGTCTGGGAGGAGCGAGGTCGGCGCCGGCCCGAACGTGTCCCCAGCAGCAGGCGGAGAGCCCCACCCCCGCCTCCCGGCCGGGGAGCCACCCGGCGCGGGGCGCGCGCTCACACTAAAAGTCCGTCCTTGCCCAGCTGCGGCCCCTCGGAGCACTCGGCCTGCTCGGCGCTCTTGACCTTGACGTAGACCGGGGAAGGGCCTGCTTCGCAGGCGGCTGCGACGGTGCGGGGGGCTAGGGCCACGTCCTCGGGGCCGCCGCTGGGTGGAGGCGCGTACTTGCGGCGCAGGGAGCGGCTGACGTTCTGCGTCGGGTACCCCAGGAGGTGGGTGACGCGGTTGCCGCGCCCGCTGGCCTTGCACCCTGGCGCTACGGCGTCCTCTCTGTGGAAAACAACAGGCGGGCGGGTGAGCAGGCTCCTCCGCGGCACGGCGTGGGCACGGCCTGGGCAGAGCTGGGGGCTCTTGGCAACCTCTCGTCTCCCGCACCTCCCTCCACCTGCCCCTCGCCTCTTTCCCTTGACCTCAACCTACTCTCCTTTCTGCACCTTCCTGGGCCGGCGACCCTGCAAGCGATCCCAGGTGCCACCGTCCCATCTTCCAGACAGGACTTGTCCACACGTGTTCCAACAACCCATCCAGGCGCCCTCCGTCTCTTTGTGAAGTTTCGCAGAACTATCACGTCTAATAGGGAGGGAGCCTTACAGTTCTGGGAGCTGCACTCCCCTAATCTTCTCAACTAACCCTGACCTTGCGCACTTTCTTCTCACCTTCTACCCATCAGTCTTCTCCATCTTTCCCTCTATCCCTAAGGCATTGCAATCATTAGCACTGCTAGTCTGGTTCTAGTTTTATTTCTAGTTTGCTTCTAATATAAGTTATTAGCACTATTCTTAACTCTTCTTCCATAAGCAGGTCAGAGTTCTCACCGGCGCCACACAAGGGAAACGGAAAAAACCGTAGGCCCTGCCCTCCAGGAGCTTACAGTCTAGACAAGACAGACAGAAGGGTGCATAGGCTGGAGAGAAATGGAGGGCGGGGGATCAGAGGTGGAGACTGGGAGGGGAAAGGGGGAAGACAGAAAGCCATGCGACGAGGTGCAGGTCGACATGCTGCAGTCCCAGCACTCCGTGGTGATGGCGGGCGGGTTGGGGTGGGGTTCCCAGCCGGCAGGTGGCAGGCAGGGGTGAAGAGGGCAGGGCGCCGGTCCCCTGCGGCACAGCAGCATGCAGCATGCATCAGGTTTTACCTGATCTCACTAGCCAAGTCGCCGCCGCAGGCCCCTCCGCCGACCCCGCCGCCGTAGCCGAAGGCACCCCGGGCGCCACCAGACCCGGAGCCTGCGCAGCAGCAGCAGATGAGCCCCCAGATGCCCAACGCCAGGCAGGCCAGCATGAGCAAAGTGCCCAGTATGGCCCCGATGATCATTCCCACGCGCCTCGAGTCTGTGGAGAGAAACGGAGGGGCGGGGCGGGGGGGATCAGGTTTCTGGCAGCCAGATGCCTAACTAACCAGGAGGTGCCAGGGCAGGGATCTGTGGGAAAGGCGACTGAAGCGCCTGGAATTTCCAGGCCCTGGGACACCCAGTGAGGAAGGTATGGGGAGATACAAGTTAACCCCTTCTGTCTGCATGTTTATCCCAGGGTTTTCCAGTTACTCTAGCAGTAGAAAGTCAGCTAAGACTCCAAAATAGAGCCAAGGGTCTGGGGATGTAGCTCAGTGGTAGAGTATTTGCCTAGCATGTGCCAGGCCCTGGGTTCCATCCCCTGTGCCTAGGGTGGTGGTGGGACACACACACAGAAAATAAAACCCAGTTCCCTCCCTCCAGTTCTACTCTCCCAGCCAAGGACCCTCAGACCTGATGCACCTACCTGAGACCTTCACCTCCACCACACAAACACTGTAGCCCACATGGTTGGCCACTGTGCACTGATACAGTCCATCATCCTCTTTGGAAACACTTTTCAACAGCAGCTCTCCATTGTTCAGGCCTGAATTGGAGGAGCATCAGAGGGGGATAGTAAGGCAGAGAACCTGGCATCTTACTGAAGTTCCCACAGCATCTTCAGCCCCTATGGGGTAGGGGATGAGATGCCTCTTTAAAAAAAAGGGAAGATGTATGTGCAGGTGTATCCACACACACAGGTCCACTCCACTCTCCAGGTGAGCCACCTTCCCCCTCCTGAGACAGAGGTAAGGAAGGTCCACTCTCCCAGCAACACCATTAATTCACTCTGTGACATTGGGGGAAATCCCCTGCCTCTCCTCATTTGTACAGTGCAGATAGGATTAGGCCAGAGGAACACTAAGGTCCTTTCTAACTCTGTTATTCTTTAATCATTGATATTGTTCACCTTTTCTATATGCAGAAATTCTATACACCTCATCCCCTTTAATCCTCATAGATCTCTGAAAGGTAGATATTACTATTCCCTTTCCATGTGGCACAGAGAGGTTAAGCCATTTGTTTGAGACTACCAGCCAGTCAGTGTCCCAGCCAGGATTCAAGCCCTGCTCCTTCCACGGAAGCTCATGTTCCTTCCAAATTTTCTATACTGCTTTTGACTGACTCCTCCACTTTTGCCTTCTCTTTTTTCTTCAATAGCAGCTGATGAGAAAGGCCTAGAGGAGCAGTCTCCCACACAATTCCAGGTTTGACTTGGTGCCACTGATGAGCCAGTGAAAGTCCCAGCTGGTCCTAGCGTCCCTGATCATGCATGCATTCCCTCTCCGCCCTCTCCAAGGCCCACTCACCTTGATTTATGGAGCTGTGGAATGACTCCTGATAGGACAGCTCAGAGTGGAAGCTGTGCTGGGAGTGGTAGGACCCAGCTCGGTAGGGGTGAGTGTGCCCGCTGATCTTGGCCCACCTGTAGGAAAGGGGCTGGGAGCCCCCGTTGGCAAAGCACTTCAGCACCACGTCATTGCCCTTTGACATGTGGCCTTCAGCCCAACACATGGGCACTGCAGGTCGAGCTGCAAGAAGGCAGGCAATTGTGAGCCAGGACCCAGGCTGGAGGCACAGCAGGCTCAGAATGGCCAAGCTGCCTTAGCTCTAAAGCCTGGGGAAGGGGACCCCCCATGGGAATCTGGCCATACCTTGGACAGTAACAATGACCTTCCGGGTGGCCATGGTGGTCTTCTTCACTCGGCACTCGTAAGTGGCTGTGTCGGATACTTGCAGGTTCATGAGGTTGATGGAGGCATCATACTGGCTGGGGTCTGAGGCTGCAAAGCGAACCCTCTGCTGCAGATGGGGGAGGTTGCCATGGTTGATCCTTTTATCCTGGTAACTAAGGAACTGGGAAGAAGAGAGGAAAATAAAGGTGGTGAGACAGGCAGAGCCACAGACGTGCCAACTGCTCTGGGCAATTGATTAAACTCTGAGACTCAGTTTTCCCAGCTGAAAATGGTAATGATGATGCCCGACCCACTGACCTCTTAACAGAATGGGTGAGATCCCTCAAAGAAGTATAAGGTCAGGCTGGGAATTTCTGGAGGACAGAGACCACACCTCGTCTTCCCTTTGGAATAGGGTGGGAGGAGGGAGAAAGCCTGGCGAGCTTGATTCCCAGCTGCAGAGTTTTTATGAGCCATTTCCTGAGAAGCCTTGGGGTTCTTGGAGAAGTACAGGGTCTTGGTTTCTTAAATTATTCTCCTTCTCCCCTCAGGATATTGGCTGCCCGACAGGTAGACGTCACAAAACACCGAGTAAGAAGAGCCCTGCACCCGGCACTCACCACATTCTCCCTACGTGAGGGGTCTGAGTTGACTTGCATCCACTCAATGTCCAGCCCATTGGGACCATAGTCCTCTGGGTCCAGGATGTAGGGGCAGCCCAGCCTCACATTATCACCTTCCGCAAGGTACAGGACCTCCTGGCCATCCCCGTTGATCCGCACAGCAGACAGCAGTGCTAGGGTAAGGGCAGAGCAGACGGGTGAAGGAAAGCAGAGCCAGAGTTTGTGCAGTCAGCTTCAGCCTCTCCTTCCACCGTTTCCTGTCACCTGTCACCCAGGGCTCAGTGGGTCTTCGCTAGGGTAATCCTGCCCTAGTGAGAGTGTGTGTGTGTGTGTGTGTGTGTGTGTGTGTGTGCGCGCGCGCGCGCGCGCACATGCACATGCACATGCGCATGCATATGAACTGGAATAGGCATATCTGTGCATACTTATGTGACTTGTTTATTTATGCAGCAGTGTCTATGGGTGCTTATTGGTCCATATATATGTATATTTTTTTCTATGATTGTGTAGGTTTGTATATGAATACTGTTTGTAAATGCATAGCTGTAATGTATGCTTGTGTGTATACATTATTGTGTGTATATGTATAAATATATATACATATGTATATTGTATATTGTATGTTTATGAGTATTTGTAGCTGCAAAGATATTCATGCACATTACCATGCAGGATATCCACTTATATATTTACATGATAGTGTGGATGTTCGTGTATGTGTGTATGTGTGTGTGTGTGTCTGTGTGTGTGTGTAGGCATGTGGAGCACCAAGAGCGGCTATTTGCTCCAATATAAGAATCTGACTCGTTCAAGGTCAAATGTGGTGGGTCAAACGAGGTGCTCCTGCTCAAAAGCACAAGGATGGACACAATGACTTCTGGGGTCCCTTTCTAGCCTGAGAAGCAGATTGAGTGTGTCTGTGTGTCATTATGTGTGTACATGTATGGGTATGTCTGTGTGTGTCTGCAGCTCTGTGCCTCTGTATGGTATGTGACAACGTGTGTCTGACTCTGTAAGTGCTCTAAGTGATAGTGTGTACCCTTGGGTGACACTGGGCACTGTCAGACAGTGACCTGGCTATGTTCATAGTGATGGGAAGTGATGGCATCTGCCTAGAACTAAGGCAGCATGAGATGAGCCTTGCATGATGATGTATGGCATTATAGCCCATGTGTCCTTCCCCTTGTATGACTGTCACTCCCATATTCTCACTCCCACTGGGGCCCCTCCTGCCCCTGAGTCAGAGGCAGGTGGGCAGAGTTAGGAGCCAGGACCTGGAAGCTTAGAACTGAGCTCTTCTCCCTCCCTTCCCTGAAGCCCCAAGGCAAGCACTAGCCCCAACCGGTTAGACCAATAGAGGGATAAGAGGGAGGTTGGACCCAGGGCCCCACCCTGGGCACTCAGCACCCTGCCTCCCAGCCTCCAGCAGCACTCCCTCCCCAGGCCCCTCATCCAGCTTGTCCACTCTCCAACTACAGCTTTTTTTGAGTCAGCACACACTCTAGAGTTCCTGCCCCAAGTCTCCGCAGTCAAGTCCTTCCCTGGCTCAGGACACTTGCACTCTTAGCATCACAAACACACAATTATACAGTGTCAGTGTTTACTTACATATTGACACATACCCATCCTTACAAGCTTTCAAAATGCAGCCACATCCCCATGCAATCCCCCATTTCTACACACACACACAGACACTGTCAGGTCTATACAAACACGGGCGCATATTTGCAGGCAAACACAGTAATCCAGAAGACACGCCCACGGCCTGCTCATACGATTTCATCTGCATCCATTCAAGACCAGACATATCTGAGAAGCCCTGCTGGCCAGGTGAAGCCAGAGCCAATGCCCTAATGCAGTTAGATTCCAGGGTGACCCAGAGCAGGCTGGCTGGCTGCTGGGGCTCTAACGGGACAGGAGGATGCCTCTTCCAGCCCCAGGCCAAGGGAACACCAGCTCATTCCTGAGATAAGGATCCTAATGTCATCTGCCAGATCTTGGGGTGGCCCAAGGCGATTCAGGGATGAGCCAGAAGTCAGGTGCAACAAGAGACTCCACCCTGGGAAAGAGCCACTGGAAGCAACCCTCCCAACAGGAAGGATTCTCTTCGCCCACACCATGGAGTCCAGTCGGGCAGGAGGGTAAGTATTCAGGAATCGGGGCTCGGGATGGAGGGATAGGCTGGAAGAAAAGTGTCTCCACCCTGCGTTAAGCTGAGTGTCTTTCTTCAATTGTCCCAGGCCAGGAAGCCTCACCCCAGCTTCTCAATCTTCCTTAGAAGCTTTCTCAGCCTCCTCCCAAAGCTTCCAGCCTTTTCTGTACCTCCTCCCCCTTCTTTGGAAGTTGTTCCTGGTATCTCACCATGATTCCTCTTGCTGTGACACTGAGGAGGTACTTCCAAGGAATGTGAGAGAAAAGGGAGGCTGGGGAGAGGGAAGAGAGCCAGAGGGGATGAGAAATCTGGTTGGGAAGACTTGGGGAGAGAAAGGATCCTGAAGGAGTCAGTGGTGATTGTCCCCCACAAAATCGCCAGGGGCTGGCTACCCTCTAGGGGGTGTCACCTCATTCCTAGTGACTACTGTCAGCTGGTAAATCCTTTCTGAATTTCCCAGCTGTTTCCAGACAGGAAAGTGAGAGAGGGGAACAGAGGGAGGAGAGAAAAGTCACCTCCACAAGAAGGCCCTGGTGCATAAATACACATGGCTTCTGTGCTCACACACCCCCAGACACACTGCAAACATGGAGATGTCCCAGCACTCCAGAGCACAGCCGGAGTTTCCCGAGTGGGCTCTGCCAACCTCTTCAGACCCAGATGACGTCACAGACATTCCGCCCTACATGCCAGAATCACACACGTACATACACACGCAGAGGCCGAAATGGTCCCTCCCCACCCACCCTCCTTACCCTTCCTATTTCGTCGTAAATCCAGACCCCAGCTCAGTGGCTCTTGCTAGAACTTGCCCAACCTGGGCAGGCAGCCACCACATCCACACCGGATCCCTGCCCTCCAGCAGCACCCCAGCATGGTGAGGAGGCTCTGGAAAGAGCCATCTATCACCACTCTCATCTTGGAGAGGCCACAGACCTGGAACTCACAGCACACAACAGCTTTCAAGGGAAGCAACTCCCCGGGCCCCATGCTCTGGCCTAGGGAGAGCAGGCCCTCCCACTACAGAAGATCCGGTGAAAACTGAGCCTTCGAAGGCTCCTCCTCAGCCCCCACCCAGAGCTGCTGCTCACCTGACTCCTACCCCACCTCCAGCTCCAGCAGGTTACGCCAAGCCAGCCCCATCCTCCAGTTCGCAGCAGGAACTGCTGCACCTGGAGCAGCTGCACCTGTGTGAGCCCCACAGGCCTCAGACAACCATGAAGAGCCACGCAGAGACCTCTGCACAGGGACACTGTCCCCAAACTTCAGGTATAGGTTCTCCCCCTCTTGGCAGTATCCAAACCAGGATGGTAGCAGGGTGAGGGTGGGTGGTCCCCTACCAGAACCTTGCAGGCCACCTTTGAGGCCCCTCTGGGAGTACTTGCTGCCCTTTTCCCGGCCCTCGGGCCTCACGCTGGGCATCCCTGCCCACTGCCCAGCCCCATACCTGGGCTCAGGCACAGGAGTAGAAGTTGGAAAGCTCCTGGAACTCCCATGTCTCTAGGCTCGGTGTTTGCTCCGCCTGAGGTGGGTTCCCGTGGCCGGTGGTGGTGGGTGGAAGGGGCAGGTGGAGGGAGGGGGAGCCGAGGGCCCAGACACTGCCCGGGGTGGCAGAAAGGTGCAGTGAGTGCCCAGCTGGGGAGCAGCCAGCGTTATTTCTATGGGAGGGAGGGGGCCTGGTCCCCGCCTTGGGGAGGAGCCCCAATAACCCTAATTAGCGGGGTGACAGGATGGCCTACCCAGGCATTACCCAGCCCTCACCCAAGCTCTTCCCTGTCTTGAGAGTGGCACAAGGCGGCCAGCGGGACTTGTAATTAGGCACCTGTTAAACCTCCACTTCCTCCTGGCCACGTCCTGGGGGTGACAACAGTCGCCCCATTTGACAGCGTCCACAGAGCTCCCCTCACCACTCATTTGCTGCCTGCTTCCCTAGGGGAAGTGGGAAAGAGGAAGGAGAAGCCGGGCTTGGGGCGCAGGCGGGGTGGGGAGAGGCCAGGCCGTGAAGAGTTAACACTCACACGGGAGGGGCGGGTGTTCTGACCCAGCCTCCCAGCTGCAGGCCCAGCTGTCCAAGCCCCGCCCCCTCCGAGCATCCCTGACCCTCCCTCCCTGGAGGGACCCCTTCTAGGAGGAGGTCTGTGAGAAGGTACTCCAGGGAAGGAGAGCCTTCTCCCAGGCTGGGACCAGGAAGGAAGGAAGGCCTGGCAGATGAAAGGCGTCCAGGAACGTCCAGCCTGGGATCTTTCAAAGGGAGTAGGGCCCCCTGAGCTGAAAGAGGGAGAGGAGGGGGATGTGAAGGGACAAAGTCATCCCCTGCAACTGCACCCCCACCCATGCCTGGCTCAAGGACTCCACCCCTGGGTGTCATGGGGGACCAAAGGTGTCATGGGGGACCCAGGCCCTAGGGCTCACACAGATCTACAGTGGTTCACGGAGGATTATAAAGATGGACCAGGGCATGTGGAGGGAGGGAGGTACGGGGTTGGGGTAAGGGAAGGAGCGGCCCTGGTGAGGGAGGACTGTGTGAATACCTGCACCCTCACGCCTAATAGTGTACAGGTGGGAGGGAGGCAGGGTGACAGTGTCATTGAGTGAGGCTGGGCCCCTCTGTATGTGCTTCCCATGAAGGATGCCTTGGTAGCCTGGCTCCTATGCCCAGGAAGAGCCACCAGGCCTGAAGAGTTCATGAAGACCTGGTTTGAACTGAGCCCTTGAGACCAAGGACCCCCGTGACCTTGACTGGTCATCAGGGTGACTAAGATGGCGTAGTCCTAGGAAGGCTGGAATAATTGGGCTGGGTAGGGTCTCAACCAGCCCGAGAAAACAGAAGGCCGGCTCTTGCTTTTGGTCCCCTCGTGCCTCCCCTGGACTCCAGGACTGCTCCACAGGACGAAGGTCACGAGGGGCCCCATGGAACTGCTGGACTTCCTTCAAGGAGCCAGGAGCCCTCCCCTAGCCCTGCCAAGGACGGAGGGGGAAGAGTTATGGGGCTCTGGGATGCTGTTGGGACCCACCCCTCTGGGAACAATAAGGAAACAAAGGAGTTTATGCGTCTCTAAGTTCCAAACCCCTCTCTCTACCTGAACTCCCAACAACAACAGGGTGCTCAGGGGCTTCCCAGACGTACACAGTGAATATCCTCATTTCCTTATTTATTCTGAGTTTTATGGGATTGTCTTGTGCCCTCTGGAGAACAGGGATCATTATTTCCATTTTACAGATGGGGAAACAGAGGCCTGGAGAAACATGAGGATTTGGCTTAGTTGATACCGCTGGGGCCTAAGTAGGAGACAGCCAGACATCCTGACTCTTGGCCCAGCGTAGTCCAAAAAAAAAAAAAAAAATGGCTCCATGAGAAGAAAGCGTAGAAGGTCAATGGTAGGGGAAGGGGATAAAAGGTGGGATGAGGAAATGAGAGACTGAAAGGAAAGGAGTGAAGGGAGGGGGTTTTAATTGGGTTCTGAATTTGAGCTGATGTTGGAGTTGGGGTGAAAGCTGGAAGTGGGATTAAGTGTGGGGTCAGCTGAAATTATAAATGAGGTTGAGGTCAGGTTTGAGGTTGGGATTGGAGCTTAACTTGGCATTAGGGTTAAATTATAGTTAGAACTGAGGATAGAGTTAGTGGCTGGGATTAGTGTTATGAGAAGGAATAAGATTTTTAGCTTCATTTACAGATATGCTTAGGAATACGTCTAAGGCCAACCTGAAGGCTCAGTTGAGATTGGCCTAGGATTAGTTACCACTGGGTCAGAACTGAGTTTAGGATTTGAGTTAGAATAGGCTATGGTTGGGGTTAAAACGTGCGTTAAAGATATGTGAATGGAGGATTCCCAGTAATCAAAAATGATATTTTATTTATGATACAGAAAGACATCAGCTTCCGTCTGCTAAATTCAGGTTTGGCTGGAATGCGTCTGGGAGAATTCCAGTGGTACATGTTGATTGGGATCCCAAGATTTGGGGGAGGGATCCCAATGTTCATGAGTCCATCTGTGGGTATGAAGTAACTTAATCCCATAACAAATGTAACCTCTGAAGACCTGTTCCACCACCCAAGCTCATGGTTTGGTCAAACTCCAATAAAGGCACTGGGAAGGGGATGCAAGAAGCTATTGGTAATGGAGGGAGCTCAGACACCAAGTTGAACCAGAAGACAAGGCCCATGGGAGGGAGTCTTACTAGAGGGGAGCCCTGGTTTTGAAGCAGGAGATGGGGATTGGGGAAGAATAAGGACCTAGGTGCTTCCAGAAGAATAGCCACTTTTCAGGAGACTATAAAGGGGGTTCTCAAAGCCTAAAAAAGGCAGAGCATCATCATTGGTCCCCTTGACCTACTGATGGCTAATTGCCTCCTCCTTGCAATTTGGAGCCTATAAAAGAAGCTGCCAGCCTTCTTGCCTTGTGCCTTGAGCCCTTCAGGGTTTGGGGGGAGTGGTGACAGAGGGAGGGTACCGGGGATAGGTCCAACCCACAGTCCTCTCCCTGGGAGACCAGCCTACAGCCCATGCCTGTCTCTCTGGGCCATCCTCAGTAGGATGGGCCCCAATCCTGGGAGGCACCCTACTCCAACTCCTCCTTTTCCTTTCCCCCTATCCAGTCCCCACCCCAAACATTCCATTTCCCTGCCCACTTCTTTTTCAGGTCCCATAAAAGTCCAGGCAGATCTGAGAGTATTGGACTTCTCTCTCTCTGG